ATATATTTTAATTATTTAGTGTTTTTGTATTAAGTGAAATTTGTTAAACATTTATTAAATTATTATGTTTTAAGTTGCAAAATAAACGCGAATGTAAGCAAACAATGCTTCAATTTTTTTTCTCATACTCTTCTGTTGTTTCACGAGCCACACGCAGCAAATTTTTTTACAAAGCAATAGATCAATGAAATATGAAACTGTTACTGTATTTTATAATTTACATATTTTACATATGTATGCCTGTGAAGAGTGTGTGCGATTAGCAAGAAAAACACACACACCTTATGCATAAATTAAACGAACAAAAAAGAAAACCTAACGAAAAAAAAGAAAAATAAATAAAATAAAATAAATGAGAACTAAATTTTTTTGCTAATTTACAATGTTTTTTGTATGGCAGGCACTATTGGCTAAGTGAAATGAAGACCATGGTTTATACAATATAAAACAATAACACCCAGTATTTTATTTTATTGTCAAGGGACAAGTTATAACATAGCTCCATTAAATGGACATATTTACGCTTAAATCTAATAAATGCACGTGGTTTCGCTTAAAACTGATCAACGATCAATTTCGAGGCACAGCTATAAATGCAGCAATTAAAGTTCTATAAAAAATAAATGCAACAAGTTTCAGCTGAATCCCATTCGATTCCTTAGTTGCTGACGTCATCGTCAACGAATGTTATGACTGCCGCGCCCTTGGCCATATTGTCGCCAACAGCTCCGCCTATTGACTTAATTGTAGCATCCTTTGGGGCTTTCAAAATGTGCTCCATTTTCATAGCTGATGGTGACGATAAATAAAGTTAGAGAATAAATTTATAAAAGTAAGATCTTTTTATTGATAAACTCACCGATAAGCACAGCTAGACTGTCGCCCTTCTTGACTACATCTCCGGGCTGCACCAAGATTTTTTCCAAGACGCCAGGCATGGGCGCCACAACACGAGAGCCGCCGCTGCCCAGCTGATCAGCTTGGGCGCTTAGGAATTTCGGCTGCACCAGTTCAAAGTCTAATTTACCATTCTTTTTATAGAATTGAAAAATCAACACAGTGAGTAGATTAAGGGATTTTCAATAGCTTGCTTACCTCCAAGAATAGCGTTACATTTCCACCGTCGATGTTGGCACTGTAGGTGGATATGTTGCCATCAATGTTGGCGCGTATCTTCAAGCGTCCATCATCCTGCACGCGTTCGGCCTTAATCACTTGCCAAGCGCCGCCGTCGACGCGGATTTCGATGTCACCATTATCATACTTTACATCCACGGCATAAACTACAAGCAGAAACAACTTACTTTATATATTTTTTTGGCCACGTTTAAAATGCTGCTATACCTTTCTCATGTGCCTTCAAGCTATAGCTGCGAATTAGCGCATAATTGAGACGTATATTTGCTGCAGCAGCAAAAGGATCCTGTCCATTGCTGGCATTGCTATGCGCAGCCTGAAGCTCATTGAAGATCAGCGACAGAGCGGCTTGGCTCAGTTGCCGCTGCTCAACGACAATTGGCGGAAAGAGTGTATCGAAGTGTTCATCGATGAATCCAGTGTGCACATTAGCCTGCTGGAACTCCGGGTGGGAAGCCAGATCAATGAGAAAATTGATGTTCGTCTCGAGGCCAGAAATCTAGAAATGGCGCTAGATTAGATCAATGCATCCATAAACAGTCAAAGTAACTACTCACATGATATTCACCCAAGCGGGCAATCAGCGAGTTTAGCGCTTGCGTGCGATTCTCGCCCCAGACGACCAATTTGGCAATCATGGGATCGTAGTGCACAGATACCTCATCGCCTTCACGCACGCCCGTCTCCACACGCACCTCAGCACTTGGCTTTGGGGTGTTCAGGTAGCGCAAAGGACCGGCGCCGGGCAGAAAGCCTCCGCGTGGATTCTCTGCATATATGCGTGCCTCGAACGCATGGCCACGACGAATGATCTGGGCCTGAGTCAGCGGCAGTGGCTCGCCGGCGGCAATGCGAATCTGCCACTCGACGAGATCGGTGCCGGTAATCATTTCTGATATGGGATGCTCGACCTGCAGGCGCGTATTCATCTCCATAAAGTGAAAAGACAAATCCTCTTTGTCCAGTATAAATTCAACAGTGCCCGCACCCACATAGCCCACGGCCTTAGCTGCGCGAACGGCAGCTTCGCCCAGTTCGCGACGCAGTTCTTCCGATAGACCAGGCTAAACGTTGGGAAAAACAATTCGGATTAATTTGTTTAGCTTAAAGTCAACATTCTAACTCACTGCTGGTGCCTCCTCAATAATTTTTTGATGCCGACGCTGTACGGAGCAATCGCGCTCCCATAGGTAGACAGCATCGCCATAGTGATCAGCAAACACCTGGACCTCTACGTGACGGGGAGAGCGCACGTAGCGCTCGAGCAGCACAGAACTATCGCCAAAGGCCTTCAATGATTCAGTGCGCGCCGAGTTCAAAGCTGTGAGGAAATCTTCGGGTTTCTCAGCAATTCGCATGCCTTTACCGCCTCCACCACGAACCGCCTTGATCATTAGGGGAAACCCAATTTTGGCTGCCTCTGCCTGCAGGCACGCATCCGATTGGTCATCACCATGATATCCATTAATGATGGGCACTCCCGCAGCTGCCATAATGGCCTTACTTGTACTTTTGATGCCCATGTCGCGAATTGCCGAGCTGGGTGGACCCATGAAGATGACACCTTCCTTTTGACACAGCTCCGCAAACTCCACTGACTCGGAGAGAAAGCCATACCCGGGATGTATTGCTTGGGCACCCGACTTTTTGGCAATCTCCAGAATTCGGTCGCCACGCAAATACGAGGCCGCCTCGCCAACTCGATATGCTTCGTCGGCCAACTCTGTGTGCAGGCTATGCTCGTCGGGATCGGAATAGACAGCCACAGTACGCACACCTAGCTTGCGGGCAGTTCGAATAACGCGACATGCTATCTCGCCACGATTGGATATTAAAATTTTGTTTATCGGCCTCACCTTTGGTGTGGCTTTCGTGGCCATGCACCTGGAGAAGATACAAATGTTTATGTAACAAATATCTACGCACAAAATAGCATACTTTTAAAAAATATTAATTGCTTTCTTAGCCATTTATTACCTGACGCTACTGCCAAAACTTTGCAAGAATCTAGTGTACATTTTTCGCTAGCTAATGTAAATAATTAATAAAAATAAAATTATTTTATTGCTAGCGTGTTATCACGATCAATGCGAAAACACCTGTTTTAGCGGTTCGCGCAACAACACGACGGTAAATCGATAGTCTCCGCATTAATCGATAGCACAAACAGCTGAGCATTGTATTGTTGCGATTTTAATTAGCTTAAAGACAGTTGGCAGCTTAAAAATTTCAATCAAAGCCGCAATTCTATATTATTCAAAATTTACTTGTGAAACAACTTTTTTTTTTTTTATGAATATTAAAGCAAATAGCGCGGGTCAATTGGCAAACTATATTTCGAGCTAGTAGAATGATTACTTGCGAATTTAGTTCGATAACACAGTTTAATAATCGAACCAATGCGGAGCGATAGCAATAGTGACCGGCGAAAATTTAGTCAAAAAGACACAATAAGATTTTGCAATTCTAGGGCCTGTGCGCAGTTGTAAGATTTTAAGGTGAATTTGTAGGCTGAGATTAAAGTCAAGCAGCTGTTCTTATTTGAATACTTAGAAATACTTATTTCAAACGTCCCTCATAATAGGGCTTCATCGAAAGCGTCTCCAACGGGATTGAAGCATGGACAAACGCGTCACTGTGCTGATGCCCAATGGTCGTCGGCAAAATGTCAGCGTGAGGGCCGACATGACATTACTGGAGATCCTGGAGACGGCATGTGCAAAGCATGGCTATGACAGCGAAGAACATTGCCTCAAGTTCCACAATAAGGATGTCAGTCTGACACAGCAATTCCGCTTTAGCGGTCTACCCAACAACTGTGTCCTGGAAATGGAGCCCACGGATAAGCGGCGGCCAGTGAGCAACGTAATGGTATGCATTCAGCTGAATGATGGATCACGCGAGCAAGGCGAGTTTGTGCCAAGCACCAATGTTTGGACCGTGGTGAATAAGCTGTGCAGCTCGCATTTGGAGGAATACGAGAGTCCTGTTATCATTTACATGCGTAGCGAGGTAATTGGCGTGGAGAAAATGCGTGAGACAACGTTGAAGTCGCTGGGAATACTCGAGGGACGCGCTATGATGCGACTGATCGACAAGAAACCGGAGGACCTCAAGAAGCAAGCCAACGTATATAAACCGGCCGTGGTGAAAGATACAGTAAAGGACGACGATTTGCCCAGCACCTCGCGCTCAGTCACGGGTCCATCTGGTACCGGTGGCGGTGGCTTTGCAATTACCAATGATTTGTTGAAATCACTAAAGCGAACAGCACCCAACGAGAGCTCAACCTCGAAACCTGAACCCGAAGTTCCTGCCGAAACGAAGACGCAGAAAAGTGAGCCCGAGCAACCGAAATATGACTGGGGTAGCGGCTCGGGCTATCAACTGCACAATCAAAACAACGAGGCGCGCTACGAGGATGTTGCGGATGAACAATTCGTAAAGAAGCCTCCAATCGTAAATATAATTGGTCCACGAAACGCCATAGTATTCTCGCTGGATGCTGCCCACAGGCACAACGACGAATTGCCCGATTCGTTCTTCGATTTGACTGTCAACGACTTGAAAATGGTGCTGCGCGATCTGAAGCGTACTGCCTCTGGCACGGAGGATGCGCCGCTGCTCACGTCCAATCTACGCGAACTGGAACGTCAAAAGGCGATGCTGGCCAAGCTAAATCAATACAAGGACTGCGTGCTGCGCATCCAATTCCCCGATCGCCACGTGCTACAAGGCATATTTAAGCCCCACGAAGTGCTCGATAAGGTAGTGGAGTTTGTACGTGGATTTCTGGCGACACCTAGCGAAAAGTTTCAACTGTTCACCATACCGCCGAAGAAGATCTTGCCTGCGAACGAGACTCTGCTGGAGCTCAATTGCGTGCCGAATGCGGTATTGCATTTTCTATTCATTAACGAGAAGCTAAACGCAAAGACCAACAAATTCCTACAGGACAAATATATCGCTCAGCTGACCTCGGAAGAGGGTGCTCTCTTTGCAGTGCAAAAGTACCGCATCGCCAAGGCTGGCGTCAGCTCTAGTTAGTAGTCGCACTGAGGCGACCTTAAGCGAACAGTGAACGTGATATGAAATAAAACTCGCATTTTAATTGTAAGGGCGTCCAGCTGTTGGGGCACTGCTTCAACTGTTTGTACAATGCGCCTGGCATGGTTTAATAAACATCTGATCCAGGTTATAAATCTGTTTTGTCAGCACTACAAATAAAGTCAATCTCATTTTCGAGATAATACTGAATTCTCGGCTCTTACCATATTTAGAGCTACTAATGACAGGACACGCGGCATGAAGAGCTTTGGGATGACTCGAGCCACAACTCTCTAAATTGTGCCACAGCAGTGCAGTTCCTTTCTCAGGCTTGATGGTTAAATTCAGCCTGGGAAATATTGTAGCGCCGACCAGTTCCACATCCTCCAACTGTTAGAGAAGAATCTAGTTCATAATACCCATTTTAGAAGTCTCAGACACTTACGTAAAACAACACTGTAGCTATGCGATCTTGAGGTCGCTCTGCCTGAAAAAATATGAAGCTGAATGATCTTTCTGGATCTGTAAAGGATATATGAGTTTATATACCGTTTCGGGTGCATCCTCTTGCAGCTGAAAATGTCCACCAATGTCATTGTTTATTACAGATAATACTTCGGAGCGATCCAAGTTAAAGCCCGAAATATCTGCCACTCGCTCATGGATAGTCTGGTCTATGTTATCCTTGCCAGAAATTAGATTAAATTCTTGTCTTCTTAGCAGAGTTTCAATTTCGCTATTGTAGATCGCCTTGTGATAAAGCACAATGAGTGGATCCAGGCTGAGCTCCTCCAGTTTGAGTGGTGCGATGCGCAGAAAAGGCGTCATCCAGTTGTTATAGCGGCAATGCAGGTGTGTGGGTCGTTGAAAACTAGCTGAGCAGTGTCCCTTAATGATGGCCAATGAGATCATCTCATCGTCGTAGTCTAGTATATCCTTCGCCTGATTCAAGTGCCACACTCCAAGCGAATGCTCCCTGCGCCTTACCAGCAGTACACCCAGCCATTTGTGTATGTGTTTCTCACTGAAATTGTAAACATTGTACTTATCCTTATCACTCTTATCGTATAACGTTAGCGAGATATTAAACCAAACTTCGGCCTTGGAATATTCCTTTTTCATATAGTTAAACATTCCCAGTGCATAGCAATCCAAAGAGTTGAGAGCAGAGCTGAGAGTCGAAATATTATTAAAAGTAGTTAATGCGGAAGGCTCTAATTGACTTACTCTGGCTGTGAGTGGCTTAAAAGAATACCATTCGCCAAGTCTTTGGGATGTAGCTGATAAAACTTAATCAGTGTCTCGATATTGCGCGTCGCTTCCGTCAGATCCACAGCTGTGGGTAATCTGGAGCGCATGTGGTGCGCAAAGGCAATGTGTTCTGCAGGCATAAGGAAGCTAATAAGGCTTCAAAAGTAATATAAAGTATAGTACTACCCTGCCCAATCCTTTGCTCCATAAACAAAGCCCATTTATGCCAATCCTGTTGCTGGTGTCGTATGAGAGCGAAACTGCTAAGTGGATTGCTCAGATATGCCTCAAAATCGTTGCTCATGCTGTTTGCCTCATCACGAAACTTAGCAAGGGCACTAAGGAATATTACGTAAAAAATGAAAAATATAAACAAGTTTTGCATCTGTATGCTTACCGTTGGGTTAGGTCAAGTTTCGATTTAAGTTCTTTCATATATTCAGACAAATTGTCTTCCAGCATCTCTTCCACGTTCAACAGGGCCTTCATCACTTCTGTTGATGATGCATGAGATTTTTGCTTCACAAGATTCTCCAATGCAGCTGCTACACTACAGCTGAAATATATTAGAATAAGGCAATGCATTATTTTGATCAACTTCATTTTATTTTATAGTCAAGAAATGATTTGTTTTCAGTGAACTATCAGTTTAAATATTACGCAAGTCCCTTAAAACGATTTGTTTTGCAAAAGTTGCAATGAAATTGTAATTTGCTACGACTTAATTAGCTGCGGGCTCCGATTGATAAGACTGACATGTAACAGTAATATCCATTCAAGTAAATGGAAACTTAAATCGAACTTGTGAAATATTTTGAAGAGTGTGTATTTAGTTATTGTAAACAGCATTTATTGCATATACAAAATATATGTAGCTATAGAGAAGGATCTAGAAATACTATAAAATGTGACACGAGACGTAGTTTATAAATCAGCATAACTTTGAACTATTTTAATATGATATAAAAAGTGTTAATCTAGTGAATATATGTTTTATCATATAAATCATATATATGAGAAATACTATAAAATGTGACACGAGACGTAGTTTATAAATCAGCATAACTTTGAACTATTTTAATATGATATAAAAAGTGTTAATCTAGTGAATATATGTTTTATCATATAAATCATATATATGAGAAATACTATAAAATGTGACACGAGACGTAGTTTATAAATCAGCATAGCTTTGAACTATTTTAATATGATATAAAAAGTGTTAGTCTAGTGAATATATGTTTTATCATATAAATCATATATATGNATACAAAAATATATTGTATTAATAGATCCATAATTATGTGTGCTTTAATTCTTATTATGTATTTGCTATATCTGTATACATATATTCGCGATGATTCTCAAACAGCCCTCGCTATATGAACTATCATATACATACATATATTACAACTAATATTAAAGTTTAAAATTAATGTAAGTAAATACATTTTCAGTTATATATTCTTAATTTCAATTTTGATTTTCAGATCAGCAACTATTCAGACTGTTGCTATAGCAGTAAATATTTCTTATCACATTCTTAATCTCTTATCAGTTGTTAATTTATCATTTGGAACTCTTTCAGTTAACCAGTGTTGGTAAATGTCTGCCATCCAAGGCCCACATGTGGAGAGAGACGTGCTCAGAGCTCAGAGACTGCCGCTGTTGGCACGCATGCGCGAAGCTGTCATCGCTTTCGAAACCGAGCCAAAAGACCAAAGAGGCCAGCAGAGCTCGGCTTTGGCTGGTTGTGAATCATATTCAGAGTTTTCAGTCGTTGGCCACTCGTTGAAGCAACTAGTTTCGTATAACGCGCATTCGAATGCGATTCGAATTGTATTCGTAAACGCAGATCGGTAAAGGAGGCAATTACAATAACACAAATACAAATGCAACTGCAAATACAGATATATACACTTGTGTGTGTATATACTATATATATATATTCAATTTATTAACAACAACAAATGGCCAGAATGCGTGCCAATGTGAAAAAGTGAAATAGATATTCGAGTTTACTAGTTGCGGCGAGGCCGTTGCCTTTCTGCCAATAGATTAACAATCATTTACGAAAATGTGTGAATTTGTTAATTAATTAGAGCGACAGCGCAAAGTGCGCTAAATTAAATGAAACCGAAAAATACGCTAACACAATAAAGCGCTCAAACGAATTTAATAAAAGCGTAACGCAAACAACTTTTACCTATGATTTTTATCTTTATACAAGTTTTAAACGCAGAATCGTCGCACGTTGACTATTGCTTTGGTTGCTGTTGTTGTTGTTGCTGTAGCAGTAGGCAGTTGAACGTGCTGACATTTTTTGTTTTTAGGGGGGCGTGGCAGCGACAAAACACACAAAAAAAAAAACACAAAAAATTATGGCGCGAGAGCCAAGAAATCAACCAAGCGGCCCCACTAACTGATTGGAAAGTGTTCGGTCCGCTACGCTAAGCGAAATACAACAACAACAAGCATATATAAAAGAAAAAACAAACAGTTAAAAAACTGGCATTTTAGCTAAATATCAACTACAGTCATATTTCTTTCTATGTATGAAAATTATATATCAAACCAATTTATTAATGGAAATGCCAAGCTCTTTCAGCCCACGCCGCTGGGGCTGAGGCTGAGGCTACGGCTCTTCACTTTTACTTTAAACGGAAAGAGAGAGTGTTTGTCCAGCTCATTTGCGTTTCTGTTTACCGGTTTTTTACTTTGTTTTGTTTTATTTTTTTCAAAAACGGCAATTGCTTATCTGATATCTAACTTTGTTTTCTCAGCAGGCAGTCAAATAAATAATATGTGCATAAATAATACAAGTCTTTATATATTGTAAAGAGAGAGAGAGGATTGTAATAGGATCATTAAATTTAATTAAAGCAACTACTTCCGACTCGGCAACGCTCATCACCGGCAGCACGAGTCGTGCATAAAGCCATTTAATGATAAGCCCGTGCCTATATCGTTGTAAGCGTTTTATTTTTCCATTTTCATGGGCGCACTAAAAAACCCGTAAAAAAACCTAAAAAAAAAACTTAAAATTACAATTGCTTACGCTTACAGTTTTCCATTAAAGCTTTTCAGTGTGTGCAAGTGCGTGAGTGTTTTTTCGTTCCACTAGGAAGTTGGCAGCCAAAAATATAAACGAAACTTACAAAAACTAACAAAACAAACGACGCGACGTTGCGCCCCTTCGAATCACAAAATTAATCAAAATAAATATTAAATACAGTTGAAGAAAATGAATTTCTTCGTTATTGGATTCCTGATCATGCAAGCGGCAAGTGAGTAGATCGTATTTTTTGTTCAGAAACACATTCATTGCGGTGTTGGTCGAACCACAAGTTCAATCTTTTTTTTTTTTTTTTTTTTTTTTTTTTTTTTTTTTTTTTTTGTCGTGGCTTGTTTTTATTTATTTGTGAGAGTCAGTCTTAAATTTCTTTATATCAAAACGAGTTTGTCTCTTAAGTCTTTCGTTTTATTTTTTGCCAATATAAAACATGTAATATAACTTGCTCATGCACTAATCACGTTTTTTTCTAATAATTGATATAGTAAATCAAGTTTGTGCCTTAAGTCTTTTATTTACTTTTTTTGTATATATCTACTTTTGTGTCGTATCTGTATTATAAATTGACTCAATTAATCACAATCATATTTTCGTAAAATTTTTGCATTTTCAACCAATTCTTCGGTTATTTTTTATAAAAATGTCTTTAAAATTGTTAAAGTTTGTGTTCCAAGTCTTTTGTTTTTTAAAGCCAATTATTGTTACAAACGTTACGCTTTTGTTTTAATTGGCAATTAGTTTAACATAGACTTCATTTAGGATTTTCACTCACTCAAAATCATAATAAAGCTTCTTACCGCACTTTTCGGTTGTTAACCCGAAAATTCTTTTGCATCACATAGGAGTGATGCGCATAATTTATAGAAGACCGGCTGAAGATGACATAAAAAAGTTGCCTCTACATAAGTGACAACGCAGCAGAACAGGTTATGCACGGTCTAAATTACAAATGGTTTGGTTTGCAATCGAGATGAGCAGTAAATTTAATTAAATTTAAGTCACCTGTTCAGTGCAGGTGGGCAGTGCTAAAAAATTGCGCTTAAAAAAAAAGAAAAAAGATTTGAAAGACTTGAAAAACAACTGCAACGAACGCATAAAACCATTTGATTGCAGCGCTCTTTAAGACTTTGTTGCAGTTTTCCGATTGGTTTTCATTTTGCTATACCCTGTTCGTATTTGAATAGGGTAGCATGAAATTGGAGCTAAAGCAGCGTGCATTGAGATCAATTTACCAAACAAAAGTTTGGCCTGAGCTTCTGAGCTATAGATTATAAATATATTGCGACTCTTGTATATACTTTTGCATATTGGATATATTTAAAATGGGAGCAGGTATTAGCTTTGATATGTCATGGCAATGAATTCATTTATATGATGGAATACACTCAATAAATCATGCGGGAAGTATATCGATTATTTGAATTTAAAATATTAATGTAGCAAAGCAAGAGGTGCACCACATATGCTCGTTATTGGATATAAAAACCCAAACGAACTGAGTCCCAAGGCTGGCATCTGTTAATAAATTGTTAAAGTCAAACACACAGCTAATAAATAATGTACGATGAACGATAAGTAAAAGATAAATTAGGGTTATAGAGTATCAGAGCATTTTCTTATATATGGATTAAGGTACTTTAATGTAAATAAGATCTATGACACGGAAGATAAATAAAATAAAATACAAAATAAATAAAACAAAGATTGTGATTTCTTAAATTTAATTAAAGATTCATGGAATTTAAGCAATAATATTTATTTTCATTGACAATCAAGCCAATTTTTGTTTACACCTAATTTTACCCACAACCCCTTGAAAATGGATATAATCTGGGTATAATGTTTTCTTGTTCCCATCAGAGTCAGCGAGAATGAATTTAGTATTTCTCTCACAAGAGAAATGGAACCCAAACATGTTGCTGCTCTAGTTTAAAGCGAATTCCCTTACAGGGTATTAGTGACTCGTGTACCCTTGACTTCATAGTTTTATTTTCTGCATTGTGTTTTGGTTGTGCAGTTTTGCTTTTCGTTGTTGTTGTTGTTGTTGTCTGGTTTGCCGCTCGCATTTAACTCGATTATTTGGCTAGCTTCTGTGGTTTTTGGGTATGTCTAATATTGCAGCTCGGCGGTTTCTCAATGCAAACGAGCTCGAGCATTTAAAGCCTTGCTAATGTAACACGAACGGAACAACAACAACTKGATAAGTGTGTTTTCGGCTGGGGCTATAAACAGTGACTTGCAACAATAGTGAAACAGATGTACTAAACGTATTTTCGTTCTTTGTGTTGTTTATCGAGCGATTGCAATTGATAAATTATGCAGGCTTGCGCTGGGCTCGAGTGTGTTGCATTAGAAGTTTAGTTCTAGAGTTGAACTTGGCTGAAGAGCGCTTGTGGGCTATGAAGGAGTGACCCTCCACTCCTCTGACTCTCCACTCCTCCACTTCAAAGTTGGCTAGATAGTTAGTCATTATCTTCATCCATGGCCG